GCCCAGGCGGAAAAGCGTTGTTTCATTGTGAACCATTCTTCCCACACCACATTCCCGAGTATCATTAAAGTGGTTTTGAACATGCTGCTGTTTGCTTGGGATCTGGCATTGGACGGCTTCTGTGTTTCACTCTCCAGGTCTGACACGCTCAGTGAGCTTGGGAACACCTTCCTAACTCAGTAAAGGGAGGGGCTGGATCTCCCCGCCCATTACTGGCAGGCAGGCAGGCAGGCAGGCCGGCCAGGTGTTCCGTGGCGACCTTGAACCACCCCGCAGAGCTCAGCGGCCAGGTGCAGAGCCTTCCTCCTCACAGTGGCCCCCAGGCTGCTCGTGACAAAGGGCAGTCTCGGGTGCCGCCCCGGACTATTGTGTGCAAACCAGAAGTTGAACGAGAACCCTGATAATCTGGGTAATTCCAGTCGCATTCAGGTTTGAGGAGCGCCACTCTGAAGCACAGCTGATCTCTCGAACTAAAACAAGGCGAGAGGAAAAATAAGGCAGCCAAACAGCCTCCACCTGCGAGAACCGTCCTCAGCGTGGTTGCGCTTTCTCGTTTCAGGAGCAGGAAGGAGGGCTGACGGTTTATCCTTAAGGGTTGAGTGCGCTGGGGCTGTGACACAAGACGCATCTCGGGCTCACAGGCTGGCCGTCCTCACGCTGATGGGTCACGCCACTGACATCCACGCTGGGACGTCCCGTGGGCGGGGGGGCGGTCTCTCCCACCCCTCCCCCACCCCTGCGGATGCACGGAGTCCTCACAGCGGCCTCCCGGGCACCCCACCAGAAGCGCGTTTGGTGTATGTCGTCAACACGTTAACACTGACACATTACTCCAGAGCAAAGGAAGATTAGCTTCTGGTGGTTCTGCCACAGAGAAGGTCAGAGGGGCTGCGAATGCCCAGTATTAAAGCTGCCACTCTGTCCCAACTGGAGGACGACCTGATATTTATTCATTTTCCTAAAGTTAATTCCTTGTCTTATTCCACATCATTTTTAAAGCTACATACATTTTTTAAAAGCTCTCTCATTGCAACCATAACCCTTTAAGATCCTAAATTAGGATACCAACTAAAGATTGAAAACCATCTTACTCAAAATCAGGGACCAATTTTCATTGATGGCTCACTCCAACCTAACTTACTTTAAAAATCAATGGCTACGAACCAAACCACTTTTTGGGCTTGTGCAAAATAAAAGCAACTGGCTAAACTCTGACTTGTGTTGCTGTTACTGTAGCCCGGGCTCTACTGCCCCCTGCTGGGAGAGCTGCCTAACCGCATCGCACAAATCATTGCTGCCTAAGTCCAGGTACCATCTGTCACCATACCGTGTATTCCCTGTGCTGTGCTTTCCATCCCCGTGACATACATACCTGGAAATCTGTAGCTCTCAGCCCTGTCACCCACTTCGCCCGCCCCTAAGCACTCTCCGCCCTGGTGACCACTAGCTTGTTTTCTGCGTCTGTGAGTCTGTTTTTTTAGATTCCACATACAAGTGAGATCATACTGTATTTCTTTTTTCTCTGACTTATTTCATCTAGCTAAAATCATACATCCAGTAAGAGGTTACTATCCAAAATATATAAAGAGTTCACACATCTTAATATAAAAAACAAAACACGATTAAACATGGGCAGAGGACTTTACCAAGAGGAACATTTTACCAGAGAGGACGGGCAGATGGCCAACAGCCCGTGAAAAGGCGCTCAGCACCGCCAATCATCAGAGAGATGCAAATGGACTGCGATGAGGCGCCACCGCACGCCTGTCGGAACGGCCGCCACCAAAAAACCAACAAACAAGTGCTGGCGAGGACGTGGGCAAAGGGGCCCCTCGTGCACTGCTGGTGGGGATGCAGGCTGGTGCGGCCGCCGTGGAGACCAGTGTGGAGGGTCCTCAGAAGACTAAAGTGAAACTGCCCTATGACGCGGCAATCCCACTGCTGGGTGTTCATCCAAAGACGATGAAACGCCGAGTCGAAAGCTGTGAGCAGCCCCATGCTCTCTGCAGCGGGGGGCACGGCAGCCAGGGTACGACACAACCCGGGGGTGTCCGCCCACCGGGAGGGCTGTCACGTGCTTGGTGCTCAGCGACCCGCAGCCGCCACCCCAGGGTGGGGGCGGGGAGGGGGTGGACGAGAAGGCTGCACCCGCCCCCCTGTTCATTTAGCCAGGCCCAGGCGTGCATCTGGAAAGGGTGCCACACTACACAAGACTCAAAACACCAACAGTACCTTTTGGTTTTTGGAGGTTTCATTTATTTATCTTTAGATAGAGGGGAGGGAGAGAAACATCGATCGGTTGCCTCTTGCACCCCAACCAGGGACCAGGCCCCAACCCAGGTATGTGTCCTGACTGGGAATCGAACCGGCGACCTGTTGCTTTTCCAGACGATGCCCAACCCACTGAGCCACACAGGCCAGGGCCCAGCAGTGCCGTGGAGTCCACGTGTGGGCGAGACACTGCGGTGCCCGAGGCGGAAGTCCTGGCCCCGGGAAGTTCAGTGACGCGATGGAGCCCCGTGACGGAGACGAACCGGCAGGCACAGCACGCCAGGCAGCAAGCAGGGAGCGCCGGGACAAAAGTTTGTAAAGCAGAGTGAGGCGGCAGGACCCCCGAGGAGGCTCTCTGCGGGGCTGACAGGCAATCGGGGACTGAAACGAAGTGCGGGAGCCGACGGGGAACACCTGGCGGGAGGGCATCCTGCCAGGACAGGTGAGGGTCCTCTGGCAGAGCGGCCTCCACGCACCAGCTGCGAGTCTGAGCAAGAGGGGGTGGGAGGGGCGGGCGGGGGCGCAACGGATCGGGTGGGCCGGAGGCCAGGTGAGGACGCTCAGGCCCCAGGGTGTGGTCGGCTGCCAGGAGGTCCCTAGGATACGGAATGACCCACATGGGAGACGGAGCAGGGGGCGGGTCGGCGGGCCGCAGCGACATTCCGGAGCAAGGCAGCGGTGCCCTGGACAGCAGGGGTCGCAGCCGAAGGGGGGAGAGGCGGCTGAGTTCAGGAGGTCCCCAGGGGTCCGTCTCTGGTTCTCCAGTCGTTGCACGCAGGGTTCTGAGGTGGAGACTCGCAGGACACACTGAAAAGGCACCTCAGCACCCCACCTAAGGGACAAAGAGACCACACACCAGAAAATGCACCTCCCTGGATACCTGCTGTTGCCGTGAAAGATCAGATTCTCCTGTTTCTACCTATTGACAAGGACTTAAAACGTAAGTGATTTCGAGTTCCCACGTTTTAAGGGAGCTTACCTGGCTACAACAAAACACCTGGCCACGGGCCCAGGGGGACTTGGAAACCTCACAGGCCACCTGCTTACAGGGTAACGTTTTCTAAGCTGCTCTTCCAAGTCCTGGAGCAGTCGAGCCGCAGACAGGAGAGCCGAGTCAGGGCGCCCCCAGCCCCTCGGTGTCTCAACCGCCAAGGAGCCCCGCCGCTCCTGAGAAAGCGGGGTCGGCGCAGACCCCCTCCGGTCCAGGGTCCAGGGCGAGGGGCCCAGCGCTCTGGCACGCCCCGCTGAGCTCCTGCCCCGGAGACCGAGGAGCACAGCAGTGCGTCCCAGACTCAGAACACAGCCAGCCCGCTTCGTGCAGGCAGCGCTGTTTAAAAACACGTTTGAGGAATGTTTTGTTTCTCAAAAAGGTAACTCCCATCAGGAAAGATCTTCTAAGGAAGTGCTGGAATGGCACGTACACCCAATGTTGACACCTACGACCTCAGGAACGCATCAACGACAGGGGTACAGAATCCTGGGAGTATCTACGGCGGGCCAGGAACGCCACGGTGACGTGCTTTCCGAACGGGTGACAACCGTCTCTGCCCTCAGCGGGGACGGGCGGGCTGAGATTCGGTGGGAGGGAGACGGGAGCACCAATTCCGAGCCGCCAGGGCCAGGGCCAGGGCCAGGGCCAGGCCGGGCGACGCCCTGGGGAAGGCAGTGGTCGGCGGGCTGCGTCTGCCCCCGGTCCTTCCGGCCCGGCCCCTGGACGGGCGGAGGAAAGGGCCCCGTTTACTGCGGGGGGGAGGGCGGGGTTGCTGCTGCCAGCTCGGCTGTGCCGTGGGTCCCGGGGAAGGACGAGACACAGGCCTCCCCGTGGCGGGTGGGGTTGGCGGACGAGGACCCCCAGGTGGGGGCCTGGCAGCAGACCGGCCTTCGGGGCGGGCTGAAAAAAAGTGGGTTCCTTGTGTAAACAATGTCTCACTGGATGTAACAGACGATGTTGGCAAAAACACCGTCCACCTAAGTGTCTGGAAGGATAGCCTTTGTTCCCGAGTCGCAGGACGCCGATTCTGGGGCAGGGGCCCGCCGGCCGCCGGGAGTGCCATCGGTGCCCGACGGCGTCAGGGCCGGTCTGCAGCTGGGGGACAGCACAGGCGGCCGGGCAGAGACCGACCTCCGCTCCGTGGGAAGGCCTTGCCGAAGCTGGTTTACCGATGGCGTCGCTGAGGAGCCCGCTCCCCAGGCAGCTGAAGGGAGCGCCATCCGAGGATGCTTCAGTAAGCCACCGCGTAATTAACTCTCCCTCGTAACTGGTCGTGGGTCAGACGTGAGGGCTCCGCGAACATTGTAACACAGACGAACCCGGTGCCAGTCAGTGTGCCCGGCGTGACAACACGGTCGTGCTGCTTTGCACACTGATACAAGACTCGCCATGAAGAAAACATGGTAAGCAATGGTAAAATGCCAGATTCTGAAATAGTAGAGATTTCCATATTGTGAAATATGTTTTAAGTATTATCAATTTAGTTTAAAAATTTTTTAATATTTTTATTTATTTATTTTTAGAGAGGGGGAAGGGAGAAAGAGAAGGAGAGAAACATCCATGTGTGGTTGCCTCTCGCACGCCCCCTACTGGGGAACCTGGCCTGCAACCCAGGCATGGGCCCCGACGGGGAATCGAACCAGCGACCCTTTTGTTCACAAGCCAGCACTCAATCCACTGAGCCACACCAGCCGGGGCTTATCACTTAATTTTTAAAAAGAGAAAAATACTGCTTGTAAACATTTTCAATCACATGTTTATTTGGTTTATTTTTTAAATATAGAAATTCTAAAAACACATCGAGACTCTCCGGCAGTGACTCTGCACACCCTCCAGCCCTGCCACCACCCCCGTGACACTCCCGGGAACCACGACATCACGGGGCGGGGCGGGGGTGGGGGGCGTTGCTGAGACAAGCTCAGCGGGGAGGGGCCACAGGGCCGTGAGTCCCGTGACAAGGAGACCTTGGTCACGGGACGATCCGTCTGCCACGGACGCCTTCCCTCACATTGAAGTTATTCGTCCATGTCCCCCCGCGGCCCCCCCGCCCGAAGCCTGTCCTGTCTCGCGTTCCAGTGTAGGACCTCATCCCAGACCCGCCTGGCATCTGCAGGAGAAACTGAAAACACGGTCAGGGACGACTGTATGCGTCAGCACGCTGGCCGCAGAAGCGAGTCACTCGGTGGTGGCCCAGAAGCATTCCTTGTTCCTCTTCCAGGACGACGACGATTCTTCATACATTTCCTACAACAGAGGCAGGGCAGGCACTCAGGACAGAGCGTTTAGATAAACGCAGACGCACCTGAAGAAGGCAGGCAAAGGCGTATCACAGCTGCCCAGACCCGCTCCCCCTGCAGCAGTGCAGCCAACGTTTACAGGAGGACTGGGAGCCCAGAAAGGAACACCACGTTCCCTGCGCCACGGGCGCCCAGCGCGGCGGGAGAAACGGCAGATAAGGAGCCTTAGCGAGACGAGGGGGGGGCTGCAGGGGCCCCGGGCGGGCAGGACAGACTGTGAGTTCCCCTGGGAACAGCACGGGGGAGAATCTGGGCAAGGTCACGCACAGAGAGGGGGTGGGGGTTTAGTTCTAAACACCTTTTCTTTCCACCCACTCATTCATCCCACTTCTGCACTTTCAAACACGCTGCTCCAAGGGTGGAGGGGGGGTGGCCCCGTCAGCTGGGAAGTCAGGGCCCCCCCGCCGAGGGTCTCCCACGGGCCGGGCCGGCTCAGAGACACTGCTCCGGAGGCGGGTGCCCTCCCTCCAGCCCCCCGTCACTCCCCAAGCCCAAGCCTGGAACCAGACAAGCATGAGGCAGCTTCCGGAGGGCAGGGGAGTCAGAACACAGCACCTTCTGGTCTCACTCTCCAGTCGGTGCTTGTTCTGCAGGAAGGGACCCAAACTCGGCCATTCTCTGAAACCTGCACCCAGGTAACTGGGGGCCGCCCCTCTCATCGGCTCTCTATGGCCGGCGGCCCCTCTGCCCCCACCCCCGGGCTCACGACTCCTTCTGGGGGCGCTCTCCGGCCACGCTCTCTCCAGGGACCCTCGACCCCCCTGTGGGCACTGGGGAGCCCGGCTGCCCTGGGGCAGCGTCCCTCCACACGTCATGCCCACCAACCCCCTGCTGGCCATCACGGCCGTGGCCTTTGGTGCTCTTGCAGGGAGCAGGAAGCAGGGCCACCAAACCCCACGGGCCCTGGCTTGGGGGCGGGCAAGCCAAGCGCCTGGGCACCCAGGACAGCCCCACTGTCCCTGCCACCGCAGCGGGACAGAGACAAGGCAGCTTTCCGTGCCCTCAGAGGGCTCTGATGACCCAGGGACGGTCGGCCCTCTCGGGGGGGGGGGGCTGGACACACAGACGGAAACACAGTCCCGGACGCATCTCCAAATGCGCTCACTGTGCATCTCCTCCGAGGCAGCGACACCCCAGCCTTCCCTCCATCCAAAGGGGCAAAGCTCTAGGAGGTCGTTCTGCCCGAGGAGTCTCTGTTTCAGCGTCCGCCTACGTGGCCATGAGTTTCCCCACCCTCCACAGAGAAGACCCTGCGCTCCAGGGGGCCCTCACCCAGGGCAACAGTCCGGACGAGGAGGCATGTCCCCCTGTGGGGGCCGACTCCGGGCCGTGCACCTGGGGGCCTTATAGTTTTCATGCCTGACCAACCCGGGAAAAAAGCCAGTGCGCAAACACCCTGTTTCACAGATAAAGAAAATGAGACTTAGCCCTGGCTGGTGTAGCTCAGTGGATTGAGCACGGGCTGCGAACCAAAGCATCGCAGGTTCGATTCCCAGTCAGGGTACATGCCTGGGTTGCAGGCCACGGCCCCCAGCAACCGCTCATTGATGTTTCTCTCTCTTTCTCTCTCTCTCCCTCCCTTCTCTCTCTAAAAATAAATAAATAAAATCTTTAAAAAAAAACAACAACACAAGATTTTACAGAGTCAGGAAGACCCATGAGAACAAACGCGGTGTGAAAGTGCCCTCGCGCCCTACCCTCAAAAGTCCCGGAGAAAAACCCCACCCAAAGGCAAAACGGATACACTCTTAACGCACCTTCTTCCATATGGGCACCTTGGCTTTCAAGGCGTTGATGGCGTAGCTCACGGCCTCGAGGGATGCGGCCCTATGGGCCGACGACACAGCGATGACCACGCTGGCTTCCGACACGGGCACCAGGCTGCAGCGAGACACAGGGGCGGTCACCACCTCCTCTGAAGCTGCACGTTGAAGACTCTGCCGCACACGACAGAAAACCCGGAGACGCACTCCAGGGTCCGACACCCACTCCTCCTTCCCCCAGCGCCCGGCTCCGTGGGAACACAGACGGAGCACAGAATCCCCCGGCGGCACGCGGCAGAGGGCCGCTGAGGCCGCAGCTGCGCTGTCAGCCCCCACCCCCACCCCCAGACCTGCACCACGGGCACCCGGAGGAGAGGGACCCTGCGCTGACTCGGCGAGTCCCCCATCAGACAGACAAGGTGCGGGGTGACGCTGGAGAGACGGCCACCCAGTGACGAGTGCGACTCGGAATTTAAAATGTCGAACGGCGATGGACAGTAACTAATGGCATCGCTAACACGAATTATTCGTGAAATCCCAGTTGTCAGTAACAAAGGAGTAATTCTGATCGACGGTGACAGACAGTCTCGGTGCTGGGTTCTTTTTAGAGCCCCGAGTTCGCTCTCCTCGGTGGTACACGAGGGGAAACTAGTTTGACGATTTCAGAGGCGTTTACATTAGACGTTGTTTCTCTTGCCCTGGCTGGTGCGGCTCAGGGGTTGAGCGCCGGCCTAGGAAGCGAGGGTTCGGTGGTTCAGTCCCCAGTCAGGGCACGTGCCTGCCTGGGTTGGGGGCCAGGTCCCCAGTAGGGGGCGTGGGAGAGACAACCACACACTGATGTTTCTCTTCCTCTCTTCCCCTCTAAAAATACATAAATAAAATCTTTAAAAAAAAGAAATTGTTTTTTTTAGCAGCCTGTTGTTATGTAAAGAATCCAGAAGACAAGACAATTGTTAAAACATCTCAGGGCTTGGGCACATGAGCACCAGCTATTTATTCGGCTCGGGGCCCCAGGGTCCCACACACCTGGGCGCTGACGCAGCACCAGGCGCTCCCCACGGGTCCCCACGGGTCACCGGGGACACGCCGCCTGAAGGGCGCTGGGGAGGCGTCTCCACTGTCCACGGAGGGACTCCCTGACGCCGGGTCCCTGAGACACTGCAGAGTCGGAACTGGCACAGGGGCGGGCAGCAACCACACTCAGCTTCTCAGCCGGCCGGGGGCGTCGGGGGGGGGAGGGGGCTCACCCGAGTCTGTGGAGCACGGCCACGTGGCGGACCGGCCACCTCTGCCTGAGGTCCCTGCAGATCCTGCGGACTTCGTTCTCGGCCATCGGGATGTAGGCTTCGTACTCCAGGCTGATGACTTTTCGACCTTCGAAGTTGTTTCTTGTGGTCCCTAAAAAAAAAAAAAAAAGCAATTAAAATAAGGTTTCTCCTTATAATAAAAACTTCGCATTAACAGAACAAAAAAGGGTTATTTTTAAAAAGATTTTATTTATTTATTTTTAGAGAGGGAAGGGAGGGAGAAAGAGAGAGAGAGAGAGAGAGAGAGAGAGAGAGAGAGAAACATCCATGTGTGCTTGCTGGGGGTTATGGTCTGCAACCTAGGAATGTACCCTGGCTGGGAATCGAACCTGCGATGCTTTGGTTCGCAGCCAGTGCTCAATCCACTGAGCTACGCCAGCCAGGGCAAAAAGGGTTATTTCTGAATAGACAAGGAACATACCAATTGGTCTAAAAGTTACTTTGAAATATTCTAAACATGGAAATGGTGAGAAAAACAAAAGCTGATTTTCACAAAGATAACAAAACAACCACGCATGGGCCAGGCACGCTAACGGAAACGCCCCCATGCAAACCGGGACGTGTTTCCTTCCCGGCAGCATCTGTGCTTCAAAGGGAAACGCCGAGGCTCTGGCTGGCATGGCTCGGTCGGCCGGGCACCATCCCGCACACTAGAAGGTCGCGGGTTCGATCCCCAGGAGGGGAGCTTATGAGCGGCAACCACTCAATTTTCTTTCCCACCCCCGCTCCCCCTTCCCCTCTCTCTCTCTAAAAGCAATGAAAAAATGTCCTCAGGTGAGGATTAGAAAAAAAGGAAAACACTATGGTCCCGGGATTATCCCGAGGTTGTTACCATCCCCGTTTTTCCCTCAGCGTTTGGAAAATGCAGAATTCTCTCTGCTAATAATGGCCCCTATCCTGCTCCAACTACGCCTTTAGCGTGTTAACCTGGAGATTACTAAGACAAAACAAGAGCTGAAAACCTCTCTACCCACCACCAAGGTCCCCGTGGCTTACTGCTCGGTCCCTGAAAACCCCTGTAGGAATGCCGAGTTTCCAGAAACTCCCGCGGCTTCTGCTGCTGTGCGGTCAGAGGACACCCCGGGGACGTCACCTAGGACTCACCCACAAACAGGGATACGGCGCCGCAGCACGGAGAGGTCACCAACTGCGAGGCTTCGTCGACGGAAAGCTTCTCCGTGGTGAATTTCACGATATCTCTCGGCTTCTCTTCAGCTTCGTTCGTGTCCTTCCTGGGAACGAGATGTGAACACACCCTAACGGTGGCCGCAGAGGCGAAACGCCAACTCACGGACTGCGCCTCAATGCACAGCGCTCCTGCATGAGACGAGCTAGGGGGCGGGGTGTGATCCGGGTGATAAAAATCAGAGTAGAATCGTAGCGAAGCGGCACTATTTATAAACACCCGGAACGAAGCGAGTGGGACATAAAAGGGAATTGACCGTGAACGTGACCACTTAAAACGTGCTCTACCTCCCACACCGATTTCCCCCCAGCTCCGGAACCGCTGCTCTGCCCTCCCGTCACGGCCCAGTCTCAACCTCGAGACCCTCGCCCCCAGGCGCCTCCCCCAGGACCCCTCTGCACCCGGGCAGCATGCCCAGAACCGCCTCTCCCTCCATCCAAAGAAGGCGGTGGGGGAAGTGCACACACACGCACACTCACGCAGGCACGGCCACGCCACAGGGACCGGGCGCGGCACCGGCGAAGCCACCCACGAAATACGAGGAGGAACCGCACGCCCCTCCCCAGCTCTCCCCTCTTCCCTCATCCAGCCTTTGGTGCCTGCTCGGGAGGGCAGGGACGCCCCCTCGCTCCCGATACAGCCGGGAACACAGCCTTGGTCCCCACACTGTTGGGGGGGGGGGGCCCTTGCGGGATGAGGGAAACCCAGCGATGGATGGCACTGCCAGCGGGCAAGACGTGAGGGCACCGCAGGGCTCAGAGAACGCCGGGGGCTGGGCCGGGTTCCTCAAGGTGAGAGGACCGAGGGAGGCCTCTCTCCAGGGCTGAAGCTTAGAGTGGACACCTGCTCGGGCCGCCCCCCAGCAGAGACAGAGGGGATGATGAAGTCCAGGCTCTGGGGCGAGGATGAGCATGGCATGCCCCAGAAACCATGGGGAGGCTCGAAGGCCCGTGAGCAAGGGAGAGAGCGGACCGGACGGGCGGAGGCTGGGCGGCAGGTGGAGGCGCTCGGGCCACGTGCAGCCCGGGTAGAATCACATACCTGTGGGCTTCGCCCGCAGGCAAAGATGAGCAGGAGGGGGCTGCGAGGAGCTGAGGGCTCCCTCACGCTGGTTCCAACCACAAGGGGCCTCGCTAAACCCACCACGCGGCTCCCCCCCACATCTGCGCCAGCTCCAGAGAGGGGGCGAGTGGGCACCCCTGCACCACTGGACGCCAGACGCTGCAACTCCGCACACGCTGCCGCCTGGGCTCCCCCCGCCCCCTCTCTGGCGGGGAGGTGCAGGTACCTGAACACCATCTGGGTTGAACGTCAACCGCACCACGTGCCCACAACACGGTTCCGCGAGGACGCAGACTCCTCTAAAACGACACACTTCCAGCCCCGTCAGAGCCCCCAACAGCCCACCAGGGTGCTGAGTACACTTCCTAATCCTTCCAGAGAGGGGCTCTCATCACACACTCCAACTTCAACGGCAGCCCATCGTTTTCGGAATAAATTCCCAGCTCCCCCAAGACAGCATTTTCCTAAAATTGTGCAGACGACTAGGGGACCACAGTTCCCAAATAAAACCGCCGCCTGTCTGACAAGGAATTCTTCTTGCATTTCTAACTGGGGAGACTCAGAGGCTCCAGTCTCTCGGACGTGCTGGGTGGGCATCTGCTTCGCCCTCTTTACTCTCCACTCTGGGGGCCCTGCGCTCCAGAAGGGGGCGGGGCAGAAGTGGGCGGAAAATACTCAGGCGCCCTTGGCTTGCTCCTTCCTTTAAGGAAACCAAGGTTGCACCACTGAGGACGATATTTGCTCCCGATTGTGGAGAAAAACCCTATCAAACGGAGACAGTTTTCCTCCACTCCTGACCTAGCCACGCTTCTCACCGGGTAGCAACTGCTCGTTTCTGCGGTATGTACTCTGCGGCCGACAGTAAGGTCAGCTCATTCCGTCCGCCCCTCCGGACCGCCCGACAGATGCTCCCACATGTCATCGTCACCCGACTCAGACGTGGCCTGCGCTGTCTGGGAAGAGGGAGACGCAGCGGAGTCCTGGGGCCACCACCTGCGACACGCTGTACAAACAAAGCTGTTCTCTAGGTGGATCCGAAGGCCCCGGACACGGGCGCGCTCTCTTCCTAGGCACAGCGACCCTGTCCCTTCCTGGCTCTGTGACTTTTCCCCATTTCCGCCCAGGAGTGCCATCACCTAGACTGATGAACATGTTCGTGAAAGCGTACACAGGGACCCCAATAGTCTGAGCTCTCTGCTGGTCTGCCGCTTATTGGCTCCGAGATCACGGACGAGTGTTGCAGCTTCTCTGAGTCTCAGTTTTCCCCCCAGAAAAACAGGGACCTTAGGGCTCCGGCACCCAGCGCCGTGCATGGCTCACAGTGAGACCTCGACGAGCCACGTTAAGTGAACAGGGCGGACACATCCCACCGGCACTAACTGCTTACGGGAGCTGACGCCGGCACGACAGGTGGGCATTCGTGATTCTGCGGCACCGACGGAGGGCTGCCGCTTTCACCGGGCGCTGCCGCCGACAGCCCCGCAAAGAGCACGCACTCAGAGCGCGCTGCACACAGGTCTGACCCCTGCCGACCCTTCTCCCGAAGCCCGGGGAAGAAAATCGGATCTCACGTACTCGGGGGGCTCCGGAGCGCTACCCTCCACTGATGGGGGGGATGACGGCAACTTCGTCTCCTGACCGAAGCAGGAGGAGCTGATCCCCCAGCTCGACATACTCTTGACGCACGGCCAGGATCACCTGGTTGCGGACATCGGCCAACCTGGAAAGGAAGCAGGTGGGACAAGAGGTGTCAGGGCCGCGATAGACCGCGAATGCCTCGGCTGCCAGGAAAGACACTGCATAACACTACTTTGGGGAGCAATGCATGCGGGGTTACTCATGGGGTACCATATGCTACAAAGGACATATGCACCGAAGAATATACATTTTCACCACGAAAAACACACTACACTGCTAACAGCCCCTTATCGGATGATGTGTGTCTCGGGAAATTAAACAAACAAACACATCTAGCCTAAAGACAACATTCAGACGCAGTCCAAAAAAAAAAAAGAAAAAGAAAAAATTCCTCATTTAGGGCCCTTTCAAGTATACAAGCACCCTAAGCATACCCTGGAAGTCCCCCCTAAGACCAGCTGTCACTCAGCAGGTTAGAGGTTAAAGGTAAAGTGGGTCAAAGGTCCCACCACGTGTCATTGATTATCAGGGCACTTTAAGAGCAACTTAAACATGTACAATTAAAAATAAGTATTTTTTTCTTTTTTTAGAGATTTTATTTATTTATTTTTAGAGAGGGGAAGGACAGAGAAAGAGAGGGAGAAAAATATCAATACGTGGTTGTCTCTTGCATGCCCCCAACTGGGGACATGGCCCGCAACCCAGGCATGTGCTCTGACTGGGAATTGAACTGGTGACCCTTTGGTTCACAGGCTGGCACTCAATCTACTGAGCCACACCAGCCAGGGCAATTTTTTCTTTTGAACAAGCATTATGGAGTATCTTTTACATGTTAAACATTTATAGGGACTTATGTGACACTACTAATATTCCTGAACACCTCCAAATAGTCCACTTTTATCATTTGTTCCAAAAAAGAACTTGTGGTAGGAACAACAGCAGTAAAATGACCGATTTTCAATGCCAGAAAAAATCAACTATTGCAAAAGACAAATTCAGCAGTGGCTAGGGTTTACCTCTCATTTTCCTTTTAATCTTAGACATTTCTATTTTGACTTCAAGCTTAAAGCACATGTTTTTAACAGACTTTGTAACAAGTTCACATGACATTCTAAAAATGCAAAATCTACATTTCCAATATTTTGCAAATTACAAAATCGAATACAGTCATGTCCCTTGGGGAGTGCCTCGCTCCCTGTGTTTTCCAGTAAAATATCTTTAAACTTCCTTAAGGAGTTGTGCATTTTTAAATACAAGAATTCTCATTTTCAGCGTAATTCCAGGAAAATAGAACTAATGACCCTTTTGACATTGAGAAAATCAAAATTGTTTCTTTAACTTTATCATGTGTTCGTTTACACATTTTTTAAGTATTAAAAACTGTTCGTCGTGTGTGTCCGCCTCCCTACCCCGGGTGCCGAGCTTCTATCGCGTCCCACAGCTGCAGCGCCCGGATTTCCTGCGGCACGGAAATGGTCTCCGACCGGATCCCCGTTATTTCGGCACTCTTTGCGAAATACAGCACTTCCACCTGCAAGGGAGAAAAAAATGCTTTTAATGGCAACTCACGGGCCTTTCCTGGCTGTCCACGCTGAGCTGTGGTTTCCAGATGCGGTGGTTTTTTTCAAAGGCAAATTTTACAAGTCGGAGAACATCAAGTCGCCCGTCAAAATGTCAGTGTGTCTCCAAGTTCCAATGTTGAGAAACGTTTATGAGTGAAGCACAACTCACACCAACTTTGGGATGTTCTTCAGCTTTACCAATATCATCGTGCTGCAGCTAAAGCCCTAACACCAGGAACTGGGAAGTGAGGTGGGTCTTCGGCTGCCGTGAAATTCCAGCAGTGAACGCACGTCCAAGTGAAGAGATGAATTACACAAGCAGAGTAAATGACAAGAAAAGGGAAAAACATGTCTTTCACGGCTGTCACCTGACCTTTGAATCCGGTCTACAGCCACACTGAGCCCAGCTGCCTAGGGCTAAGTTATGCAATCCACCCACCCTGACATTTACACCAAAGGAGGTGCGTTTGAGATACAGGTTAAACTGGCATTTCCTGGAACGAATCTGTGTGGCTAGACTGGTATCCACTAGTATCGCCAAGTGCACGGCCCCCCTGTCCTCGGTGAACGCGATATTCTCTACCAAACAATCCAAAGTTTGCAAATGCACAGAGGAAGCATGCCCCAAGAATGCCTAAAGGGCGTATCTTTTGCGGGGATCACTTTGTAAAGTTGATCAGGGGTCCCCAAGCCCCCGGCCGCCTGAGCTCCGCCTCCTCTGTCGTTTGCCCGCACCCCCACCCCACCCCACCCGCGTCTTCACCAAAACCGGCCCCTGGTGCACAGAAGGTTGGGGGCCGCTCGAGTAGATGACTGTCTAACCACTATCTGTAAGACCTAAAACTACTACAAAGTAACATTGCATGTAAACTGCAATGGAAAAAGAAAATAAAATGAGCTAGCTACACACTCTCTGAAAAGAAGAGAGAGAATGCGTATCTTTTAAACTAAAGCTTGTCTTCGTTCAAACGAATGCCGTCACACACGGACAAAGGTCAAGGATGCCTTTACGTGTCCGGGGCGCCGGGAACTGGACAGGACCTGCGCTGGGGCCCAGACTCCGAGGTCGGGAAGGATCGCAGCCGCTCAGGTGCTCGAAGGGGAGGGTGCTGGGTTTGGAGAGGGACGGAGTGGGGCGCACACGTCCGGGAGGGGCCCCCAGCCTTACCTGGCACTGCTGCACCATCCCGCCTGAGGTCCCGGGGCCGGGATTGCGGCCGAGGAGGCGGAGGCGCGGGGCCGCCCACCGCGCAGGCGCACCTGAGGCTCCGCCCACCGACCCGCCCGCACAGGCGTGCGCACAACTAGCTCCGCCCTCTCCCCCCCCCCGCCCCTCCGCCGCCCGCCCTCGCAGTTCCAGAGGCCTGACCCGCGGAGTAGTTTCGCTTCCACTCGCTAGTGAGCTGCGAAGGCAACGCAAGTTAAAGGTGTCCGGAGACGGGACCAGGACTGGCCGTGTGCGCGCGTCTCGGCAGACAGGATGCGAGGCGTGGGACAGCGGACCGCGCTCTCCCGGACACTTAGCACCTGCGTTGGGGAGCTGGGCTTTCCCTGCAGCTCCCCTGCAGGCTTCTCTTGAATAACGCTTTTATCCACCCGCCGGCTTCCGTCCCTGAAAGACTTAGAGCACTCGGCGGCGCATCAGCTCACACTTCTGTTTACTGGCCGCCCTGCAATTTGCCCGCACCCATCCATCCAACCTTTCCAGCTTCTTACGATAGGAACTCTGGGTTTAATGGCTGGTTAGTCCTGTGCTTATAAAGGGGGCGTCCTTCCCCTTGGCGCCCATCGTCCGGGGTGTGTGACTGTCGCACAGCACTAAATGCTAAGCCAGGGAACCAGGTGTCATACAAGGGACACTGTTGCGTTGCACGGAAGTGGCCGCTCACCTGAGGACTGGGCTGGAGGCAGTGTTCACCCAGGAGAGGCTGGAGCTAAAGCTGCCGGAATGGGCAGCAGCACATTGCAGGGCGGGGGTGGAGGGGGGCAGGTAGCAGCATGGTAAGGCCACAGAAGGGAGAATACTTGCTAAGGCCAGGTGCCCCCCCCCCCCCGCAAGGGAAGAGTGGGGAGGAGGCTGGAGATAGGGTAACCCAGGGCAACAGGAGTGGACAAGGACGGAGTAACACCAGCATCTGCGCTGGTAACGTTTGTAAACATTAAGGATAAAGAATCCCATTCACATTCAGACGGAAGAATGGGAATGATGACAATGGCCTTGGACTTGTCCGGGACGTGCAATGCCAGACCATGGCGGTGTGCAACACCTACAAACGGCTGAGAACAAAAGCACGAGCCAAATATTACATACAGCCGGGCTGGTGCTGGTAAAGGCCAAGCCTGACAGGCCTCAACCCGAACAAAGAAAAAATACCCAAGAGCCCTTCTGGAAAGATCTGCAAAAATCCAGTCAATCAAGACACTAAGCAAAGTTAAAAAAAAAAACAAACTTAGTAATAAGTTAATGGAAAAATAAATAAATAATGGAAAGAGATTTTAATTCACTTAAATACAAAACAAAAACATCAATCGTGGGATTTCGGTTGTGGGATAAAATATGATGGATATTGGAATATTTTTAAAAACAATAGAAATGGCCTCTAATTGGATCATGTAGTTACAAAACATTGATTCAAGCCTCAATATTTTTCACAATGTTTCTTAGTTTTAGGAAGATCTATCAGGGGCAACTAAAAAACTATGTCTTCTGAACAAAAATGTGATGGTTTCAAATTTCTTCATTTTCATTTCAGGTACTTTGTTGTTCAATTCAAGTACAAATACATTAAAATCTAAAAAATGACAAATAGTGTATAGTGTCATTGCATTTTTTAAAAAACTACATCTGTGTAACCTTCATGTCCAGAGGAAAGGGGTGGATTAGCATTCCTGAAATAATAGTTACTGTATATGGGGAGTGGAATCGCAGGTGATTTAAAAAATACTTTTGCTTTCCTCTTAACAAATTTCTGTGTTGCTTGATTTTTTTAAAGTATTTTCTTTCTTTTTTTTAAAGATTTTATTTATTTATTTTTAGAGAGGGAAGGGAGGGAGAAAGAGAGAGAGAGAAAACATCAATGTGCGGTTGCTGGGGGCCATGGCCTGCAACCTAGGCATGTGCCCTGACTGGGAATCGAACCTGCGACACTTGGGTTCGCAGCCCACACTCAATCCACTGAGCTACGCCAGCCAGGGCTTGTTGCTTGATTTTTAAAGCAATTTGCTTAGCCTATAAATATGTCTTGAGTGCTTATTGTTATTGAAGCACCGAGGATACAGCTGTGAACTATAAAAATAAGGTCCTTGCCTGGTGGAGCTTGCATCCGGTAGGAAGACAGGCAGGTCTGTCCCTTCTGCGAGGAAAGGAGGGAGGGCGTGTGTGATGGGTGCTGAGGAGGAAGTGAGTCGGGGAGGGGCGGGTGCAGCTGTGGCAGAGTCAGCACGGGCTGAACAGGGCCTGGCCTGAGCGGACCCACCTGAGGGGTGACAGAGCCCCCGTGCGCAGGGCAGGGGCGGAGCGTCTGGAGAGAAGCGGCCTGGCTTTGGGGCAGGAAAGCACTCTGCACGTTTGAAGGAGGAGGAGAGGCCAGTGGGATGCAAGAAAAAGGGAGAGAGGCTGGGAGGCGACCTGAACAGACAGATCCCGGAGGGCCTCGAAAGCCAGGTTGGATTCTGTGCATCAACACTTTCGGTGGGAAGACACCTTCCCCCCCACCCCCCACGCGCCTTTTAAAGCTGGGATTCTGCGTCCGCGCCAGGCCGGTTTCAGGACGCTGCACACAAGCAGGAAAAGAGAGGAACCGAAGCTTGATCTGTGGACTTTTCAACCAAGTGAGGCAATAAATTCCTGATTTTGCCCAAATATTTGCCACCATGATGTTCAGCTCTTAAATAGTATTTAAAAGATTTTATTTATTTCTTTTTAGAGAGGGAAGGGAGGGAGAAAGAGAGAGAGAGAGAAACATCAATGTGCGGTTGCTGGGGGCCATGGCTGCAACCCAGGCATGTGCCCTGACTGGGAATCGAACCTGCGATGCTTTGGTTCGCAGCCCACGCTCAATCCACTGAGCTACGCCAGCCAGGGCCTTAAATAGTATTTAGTGCTAGGTTCCTGGTCATGTGCTTTGGCTCATGATCAGGAATTTCCCTGAAACACCCCCCGGCTTCAGCGACTCCCCGGAAGCATCTGGAGGGCTCTGCTGCTGCGCCACGCCAGAAAGCAGAGGAGAGTGAATTTCAGGCCTCCGTCCACGTGGCCCCTGCATCTCCATGCAGCGGAATCTGCAACAGGTGGAGATGTCTCTGCCTGAGAAGGTTTGAACGGCATGGTGTGAGGTCCGTCGACATTGAACATATCTTGGGCGGTATTTGCATTCCTCGTTGAAAACTAGATGCGATAGTTATTTTTTAAAAGACTGCTTCAACATGAGCCCGTTTGGAGTTACGCATTCGAAGACACCACCCAGAGTTCCCAGCACTTTTCTATATACAACTGGCTTGTAAAGACATGGGGTACAGTGTGCATGAATGATGCACAGCCTATCGGGGTGCCTGGCACCTTGCAGATGTGCAGAATATTGTCGATTCAGTTTTGTGACTGAACGAAGTTATTTGCAAAATATCATGTCCTTCTTATGTAATTTTATTCACCGGTCATCTTGGATAAAAAGGAAAAAAAACAGCATAAACCATGTACACTTGTTCGTTTATTCAAAGAAAGTAAGAGGAAATACTCCCCCTTGTGGTTCGTCCTTTGAATGGCAAGTCCTTCACCCCACAGGTGGGAAGGAAATACAAGGGCTTTTTGTACACAGGCTCTTCAGGGAGCTTCTGCTACAACCAGTCACTGTCTCCCAGTGCCGGCGGGCAGAGCCAAGCAAGAGCTCAGAATTTACTTCTGCAAAATCTAAGATATGCACAACAAATTAGTTACCGAGAGAGAGAGAGAGAGAGAGAGAGAGAGAGAGAG